GGTCCGAGCCCGGCTGAATGGAAGCCCTTTTCTGGGGTTTTGTTTAGCTTCTTATTTGCAACATAGTATATAGTTGCTTAGAGTTGCAACTGAGAGGCTGGCAAGTTAGGTGGGGAACGTTGGAGTCCGCAGTCACTGAAGCAAGCAAGCCTCCCTGTTTGCTTCAGTGCCTGGCTGCCGGCCGCCATCTTGGCTGACAGTTAATTTGCATATACTCACTGATTAGCCAATGAAAAGGGTAGCGGTCGTACGCCAATTACCATGTTTCTCTTTTATTAGTGTAGATAACATGACAAATGATAAAATGTTTTGTGAAAAAGCTTAATAAAAAGTATAATAATGGTATAGGGTACAGTTAGGATTATTTTATTTTATTTTTTTGTTGTTAATTCTCATCCAAGAATATTTTTCCCATTGATTTTTTTAAAAATATTTTTTATTGATTCTTTACAGAGAGGAAGGGAGAGGAATAGAGAGCCAGAAACATTGATGAGAGAGAAGCATTGATCAGCTGCCTGCACACCCTGGGGATGTGCCCGCAACCAAGGCACATGCCCTTGACCGGAATCGAACCTGGGACCCTTCAGTCCGCAGGCCGACGCTCTATCCACTGAGCCAAACCGGTGAGGACTCCAATTGATTTTTTTAATATATATTTTTATTGATTTCAGAGAGGAAGGGAGCGGGAGAGAAAGAGACAAAAACATCAATGATGAGCCCTAACTGGTTTAGCTCAGTGGACAGAGCGTCAGCCTATGGACGAAAGAGTCCTGGGTTCAATTCCAGTCAAGGGCATGTACCTTGGTTGCAGACTGTTCCCCGGCCTGGGCCCTGGTCTGGGCCCTGGTCAGGGCTCATGCAGGAGGCAACCAATTGATGTGTTTCTCTCACATCAATGTTTCTCTCTTTCCCTTTCTCTTCCATTCTTCCTAAAAATCAATGGAAAAATATCCTCGGGTGAGGATTAACAAAAACAAACAAACAAAAAAATCAATGATGAGAGAGAATCATTGATTGGCTGCCTCCTGCACACCTCTCACTGGGGATCGAGCCCTCAACCTGGGCATGTGCCCTTGACCGGAATCGAACCTGGGCCCTTTCAGATAGTGGGTCAACACTCTACCCATTGAGCCAAACCAGCTAGGGCTAGGATCATTTTTTTTTTTCAACTGACAAACCTATACACGGAAAGAAAAGACACGTACCAAAGTATTAACATTGAATGTGTTTAGGCTGTCATGATATGACTTCTTTTTCCTTTCTTTGTTTTACTCTTCTGTACCTTCCAATGTTTTTTTTTAATGAGTAGTTATTGCCGAAACCGGTTTGGCTCAGTGGATAGAGCGTCGGCCTGCGGACTGAAAGGTCCCAGGTTCGATTCCGGTCAAGGGCGTGTGCCTGGGTTGCGGGCACATCCCCAGTAGGAGATGTGCAGGAGTCGGCTGATCGATGTTTCTCTCTCATCGATGTTTCTGACTCTCTATCTCTCTCCCTTCCTCTCTGTAAAAAATCAATAAAATATATTAAAAAAAAAAATGAGTAGTTATTACTTTTCTCTCATTTACAAAAAATTTCAAGGTCACCACTCCATTCTTCTAACCCAAGTATCTATAGCTAAGCTCTGATACAACCTGGAAATAAAGGAGTATGGGTAACATAGTGCCAATTTCTAAAAGTGCTTGAAGTGGCCCTGACCGGTTTGGCTCAGTGGATAGAGCGTCGGCCTGCGAACTGAAGGGTCCCAGGTTCGATTCCGGTCAAGGGCATGTACCTTGGTTGCGGGCACATCCCCAGTAGGGGGTGTACGGGAGGCAGCTGATCGATGTTTCTCTCTCATCGATGTTTCTAACTCTCTATCCCTCTCCCTTCCTCTCTGCAAAAAATCAATAATATATATATATTTTTAAAAAGTGCTTGAAGTGGCTTCTGTAAATTATTTTGCCAAAGGAGAAAACTGAAAGAAAGGGAAAAAAAGAACATCTTAGAAATTAGTATCCAATTAGCGTTGGCCCAGTGGTTCAGTTGGTTGGAGTGTCATCCCATACAGCAGGGCACATACCTAGGTTGCTGGTTCGCCTGGTCACTGCATGTAGGGGAAGCAACCAATTGATCTCTCTCTCTCTCTCTCTTCCTCTCTTTCTAAAAAATCAATAAAAACATATCCTCGCCCTAACCGGTTTGGCTCAATGGATAGAGCGTCGGCCTGTGGACTCAAGGGTTCCAGGTTCGATTCCGGTCAAGGGCATGTACCTTGGTTGCAGGCACATGCCCAGTAGGGAGTGTGCAGGAGGCAATTGATCGATGTTTCTCTCTCATCGATGTTTCTAACTCTCTACCCCTCTCCCTTCCTCTCTGTAAGAAATCAATAAAATATATTTTTTTTAAAAAACAAAAACATATCCTCAGGTGAGGATTAAAAAAAAAAAGACATTAGTATCCAATTAGGACAATATCTGCCCAGCTTGTTCAGTTTGTTCAGAAGTTCACCCCAACAATTGATAAAGCTTGTCAACCTTTTACCCAAGGTGAGGAGACAAGGAAGGGATAGCTAAGAGGCCTGTTCCTCACTGAAAACCCTCTTCTTCTGGAGGGGGGGTGGCATGGATAACTTTGCCCTTTACTTAGTGAGCTGGATCTGTAGTGCGTAGGTTACAAGTAGAGGATAGAGAAGGAACTGACAGACTGAAGAGAATTCCTTAGACCCCATGCTACAACTAATCTTTTGATTTGCCATTTGTTGGAGAGGAGTATTTGTCTCAAGAAAAATCTAAACTTACCACATCCACCTCAAGCTCCTCTAATTCTTCTTTCTGTACTTCAGGATTCTCTAACTCTGGCTCTGGGAAGAATAAAGATTCAAAAATGAAAGCATTCCTTAAAAAGTTAAACATAGAATCACCCTACGACCCAGCAATTTCACTTCTAGGTATCTACCCAAGAGAATTGGAAGCTGATACTCAAAGAGACATTTGTATGCCGATGTTCATAGCAGCACTATTACAGTAGCCAAAGATGGAAATAACCCAAGTGTCCATCAACAGATGAATGGATAAAAAACAAAGTGTGGTGAAATATTACTCAACCCTAAAAAAAAAAAAAAAGAATGAAGTTCTGCTACAATTCTACACCATGGATGAACCTTGAAAACACTAGGCCAAGTGAAAGAAGCCAGTCACAAAAGACCACACATTGTATAATTCCATTTATATGAAATGTCCAACACGGGCAAATCCATAGAGACAGAAAGTAATTAGTGGTTACCAGTATCTGAGGGGGACAGGGAAATAGGGAGTGACTACTAAAAGGCTAGGGTCTGATGCAACTTAGAAGTAAAGATGTAGGGGTCATCTGGTTCCAATTTCTCAGGCTTAAAGTGGCTTATTGGGGGTGGGATGAAAATGCTCAGAAATTATATAGTGGTGAGGGTTGCACAGCTTTGTGAATATACCAGAAATTGTTGAATACTTTAAAGAAGTAAATTTTAAAGTAAGTGAATTATATCTCAGTTTATACCAAGTGGCTTCTCTTTTAAAAAGCTGACTGGGGCTGGAGCGGGTCGGGGGAGGCAGGGGCATAAGTACAGTCAGTACTAAGTGGATATTCTAGGCATTCAGCTCCTGGCCTTCCATTCTTCTCCCAATCCTCTTCTCCCGTAGGGAAGCTGGATTCCACAGAAATCGGCCCCTTTCCAAACAACCAGGCTGCTGGGTACTCATTTCTGCCACACTCACTCTGGAACCCCCTCAAAACCCAGGAGGGTGTTTCTCTCCTGATCTCTCCTGACCCAGGTGTACCTCCTGATCTGTTGCTTAAACAGGAGCCTGGGGTAAAATTGGTGTATTTCCCATCTGCCATGGCTGAAAGGAGGATGGAACCAAAAGACTTTGGGAAACACAACACTCCAACTTCCAGAAAGAAAAACTAAGAGGGGAGTGAGACACAGAGGCCAAGGACAGAAATCATGAAAAGGGATGGAGTCGATGATTCAAGGAGCTTTTTGGTAAATGGGACAGGTGACCAAGAAATCCACCGCCCTTTGAGAAAACTGAGGGCATTCAAGACTTCAGACAGGAACTAGGCCAGGGGAGGGAGACTGAGACAATCTTAAGAGTAAACTGGTTTTGCCCGGTCAGCATGGCTCAGTGGTTGAGCATTGGACCTACGAACCAGGAAGTCATGGTTCAATTCCTGGTCAGGGCACATGACTGGGTTTCGGGCTTGATCCCCAGTGTGGGGCGTGCAGGAGGCAGCCAATCAATGATTCTCTCTCATCATTAATGTTTCTATATCTCTGTCCATCTCCCTTGCTCTCTGAAATCAATAAAAATATATTTTTAAAAAAAATTTTAAAGAGTAAACTGGTTTGTCTTCTATAACACAATTTATATAAAATCTAAATCATGCAATACAAGTATATGATGTTCATGGATACACACAGTAAAAATTTTCAAAAACATCAACTCAGGATAGTGGTGACCTCTGGAAAAAGAGAGAAGGGTTTGGGGTGGGGTGGAAAAGCATAGGAATTTCCTTGTTGCTATCACAATTTATTCTTACATTGGGTGATGGATACGTGAGTGTTCATTATATTATTCTCTATACTTTTTCTGAAATACGGGTCAACAATACCTTATCCAAAACCCTGAGGTCAAGCATATTTCATAATTTAGAATCCTATATAATAAAAGGCTAATATGCAAATTGTCCCCCAGGAGTTCAATTGGGAGTTCGACCAGGGGCGGGACCAGCCAGCCTCAATTGGGGCAGGCTGGCCAAACCCCACCTGTGCACGAATTCGTGCACCGGGCCTCTAGTTGTAATATAATATGATATGTAATGCCCCCCCCAATGAATGACGTCATTGAATGACGAGGGTGGAACTGTTATGAATGAGATTAGTGCCTTATAAAAGTGGCTCCAGAGAGATCCCTTGCCATTCACCCTCAACCTTCCAGCAGGCTCTGGAACAGCACTGCACAACCAAGTTTTTAATATCAGTGGTATTTCTTCAGTAAAACATGTGAAAATTTATACTATGTGGTTTAGACTATAAATATGTCATGTCAGTTTAGGTTATGTTATACCACCAAGTAAGTTTGGATGCCCAACTTTGGGGGAAACTCTTTTAGTTCTTAGGGCTTTTTAAAATTACAGATTTTTTTAAATTATAGATTAGGAACCTGTACTACTTCTCTTTTTAAAAATATGTTTTTCTTGATTTCAGAGAGAGGAAGGGAGAAGGAGGGAGGGATGGAAACATCAATGATGAGAAAGGATCATTGATGGATCCGCTGCCTCCTGTACACCCCCCACTGAGGATAGAGCCCACAACCCGGGCATGTACCTTGACCCGGAATCAAACCGGTGACCTCCTGGTTCATAAGTCGATGCTCAACCACTGAGCCACATCAGCTGGGTTTGTACTACTTCTTTTCTTAATGAAGAGCACTTAAGAATGCAAAGGATGGCCCTAGCCGGTTTGGCTCAGCGGATAGAGCATCAGCCTGCGGACTCAAGGGTCCCAGGTTCGATTCCGGTCAAGGGCATGTACCTTGGTTGCGGGCACATCCCCAGTGGGGAGTGTGCAGGAGGCAGCTGATCGATGTTTCTCTCTCATCAATGTTTCTAACTCTCTATCCCTCTCCCTTCATCTCTGTAAAAATCAAAAAAATATATTAATAAAAAAAAAGAATGCAAAGGATGTCCATACACACCTCAAAAGGTTGTTTGCTCACTATCCTTTTCCAAGAAGTGTTTTCAGCCCTGTCTTAGCTTGTACAGAAAAATACCACAGGCTGGGTGGCTTACAAACAGCAGAAATTTCTCAGACTGGAGGCTGGAAGTCTTAGATCAGGGTGCCAGCATGATCGAGTAAGGGCCCTCTTCCCAGTCACAGACTTCTCATTGTGTCTTCACAGAGTGGAAGGAGGCAAGGGATCTCTCTGGAGCCACTTTTATAAGGCACTAATCTCATTCATAACAGTTCCACCCTCATCATTCAAGCACCTCCCAAAGGCCCACCTACCAGCACCATCACATTGGGCGCTGGGATTTCAGCATATGAGTTTTAGAGGGACACAGACATTCAGACCCCTCTGTCTCTAAAGATTTCGGGGATTAATGTTCATTTCAGGGCTACCATGGAGACCCAAGTCTTCTCTGAACACCCATCAGGGTTTGCGTCAGCTGGAAAACTGCACATCAAACACTAAAAAGGCCTACAGCCAAGGTAGTCAGATCCCTGGTCAGTGCTTTCATTTAGAAGCTCCTTCTCTTCCTATCCCAGAGGATTTCTCCAAATCGAACATCACTGCTTTCTCTCCTCCCCCAGCCTACTCCTGGTACCCAGCTTCTAGGAGCCAGTCCCATTTCAAACTGCTTTCAAGAGACCTCAGAAGAAAAAAAAGTTGCACATTTCTAATCTCTGGATTCTAGGGCAAGGCCCTATGGCCTTTTCTCCCTTGCTCACCCTTGATCTATCAACCTTTAATATGAAAAGGAATTCTATTTCTCTCCATCTTGAGAGGCTGCTAGCAATGTAAAGAAGCCCCAGAGAGCCTGGCTGGCATGGCTCAGTGGTTGAATGTCGACCTATGAACCAGGAGGTCATGGTTCAATTCCTGGTCAGGACACATGCCCAGGTTATGGGCTCGACCCCCAATGTGAGGCATGCAGGAAGCAGCCGATTAATGATTCTCTCTCATCATTGATGTTTCTCTCTCTCTCTCTCCCGCTCCCTTCTTCTCTGAAATCAATAAAAATATATTTTAGATAGAGCATCGGCCTGCAGACTGAAAGGTCCCAGGTTCAATTCCAGTCAAGGGCATGTACCTTCGTTGCCGGCACATCCCCAGTGGGAGATGTGCAGGAGGCAGCTGATCGATGTTTCTCTCTCATCGATGTTTCCTACTCTCTATCCCTCTCCCTTTCTCTCTCTAAAATATCAATAAAATATATTTTTAAAAAATAAAAATATATTTTTTAAAGGATGCCCCAGGTAAAAGGAGAGGACTATACTTAGCTCACAGTCATATCTACACTGGCCTGTGCCCTAGGAACAGCCCAGTGACAGCAACAGCTACCAAAATCCTTCCAACCCTATTGGTCCCAGCTCATTTTACAGGGAAAGAATCCCTCAGATCAAAGCCACAGGAGGCAGCCTCTTTAAACTCTTTTCTCTCTCAGTCTAGACCTCAGGCTTCTTTTCCTGTGGCCCTGAACCTGAACTGCCTTAATCAGCCAAGGCCCCGCCAACATGAGGGTGGAGATACAAGAGCCTCAAACAGATGGGGAAAGCATCAGTCAGGCTTAGGATTCAAAGGGTGGCAAAGCAGACTGTCTCCATGGTGATGGGCTTAATGGGAGAAAAACATTATTTGTTTTGCCACCCAGGGTGAAAATGGGAAAAAGGAAGAGATTAAACCCTCTCCAGTGGGGTAGGAGCAACCATGAACACTTGAATAAGGAGGAAGAGGCTAAAATAAAGGATTGGCTGGTGAGCTCCTGGTGCACTGGGGGACATTTTTAAGGCAGAAAGAAGAAGCACAGGCTCTGCAGGGGGAAAATACACAAAAAGGGACCCGTCGGCAGGCCTGAGATTCTGCTAACCCCCCTGCTTCTTACCCAAAAACAATAGAACCTGCCTGCTCCCCAGCCCGAAGACCCTCCTGAATATTAATATTCTCCCTCCAAGCCCCTGGCAGCATGTACCCACCAGGCTTCTCCTTGAGAGGCTCCGGCTCCGGCTCCGGCTCGGGCTCTGGCTCTGGCTCTGGCTCTGGCTCTAGTAGCTCTGGCTGCTGCTCCAGCTCCGAGCTCCGCCTACTGTCAGGCTGGGTGGCCTCCCCAGGCTCTGGGGCCAGTGGGGCCACAGCAGCCTGAGCAGCTCGCTTGCGGGCATTCTTCTTGCCACCCGCCTTCTTCCGCTTCTTCTCAGCTTTGCTGGACATCACGGCACCAAAACCTGCAGACACACAGGAAACTGGGAGTCCACAAGCAAATCCACCGCAGTCCCGGCTCCATCAACCACAGGGGCCTTGCAGTCCTCGCTCCTTCCCCTGGGATATTCCACTTCCTTCAGAGCATTGGGTTAAAAATCGATGGGATCCCTCAAGGCATTAAGAATATGGAAGTTGTCCTGACCGTTTTGGCTCAGTGGACAGAGGGTTGGGCCGTGGATTGAAAGGTCCCGGGTTCAATTCCGTTCGAGGGCATGTACCTTGGCTGCAGGCTCAATCCCCAATAGGGGGCGTGCAGAAGGCATCTGATCGATGTTTCTCATCTATGTTTCTAACTATCTCTCTCTCTTCCTCTCTGTAAAAAGTCAATAAAAATATATTTTTTTTAAAAAGAATATGGAAGTTGCCCTGACCGGTTTGGCTCAGTGGATAGAGCATTAGCCTATGGACTGAGGGGTCCCGGGTTCGATTCCAGTCAGGGGCGTGTACCTCAGTTGCTGGCACATCCCCAGTGGGGAGTGTGCGGGAGGCGGCTGATCGATGTTTCTCTCTCATCCATGTTCCTAACTCTCCATCCCTCTCCCTTCCTCTCTGTAAAAAAATCAATAAAATATATATTTTTTAAAAGAATATAGAAGTCAAAGATGGTGGCCCAACAGACACCCCATTAATGAGGGTTTAGGAACTCCCCTCCCTGCCCAGAAGTATGAGAACGTAAGATAATCAGGAAAAGGTATACCAGGCGGAGGTGTGGTTACACACACCCTCAACCACCCGATCCCTCAGAGACGCGGCTGAGTGAGAGGAGACCCCGGGAAGGGAAGACGGTCCCCAGGCCCCCACCCTTCGTCACTGTATCAAGTCAATGAAGCAAACCAATATGCTTTTCCTCTGTGTCTCCTTTCCTCCCATGTTACCCCTGGAAAGGGGCGGGGGGGAGGAATGGGAAAATACTCCTCCTGCTCAAGCTAAAATCTGCAACTTCCTTAAACAAAGAAAAACCACCGTATTTACAACGTCTCACTGGCTTTCATTCCCGAGGGGAGGAACCCTGTTCTGCGTGTGCTGAAAGGGCCTCAGCCTACCTGGCTGAGTGACTGTGCTGACTGATCATGAAAACCAAGATCATTTGACTCCAAACGCCCTGAGAACAGACCGGAAGAAGGAAGGACGAGTCACCCACCACGGACTTTCTTACTGTGTATCGGGGAGGACAGGAGGGAGGAGGAAGGCCAGGGTGGCTGGAAGCAGGGGCACCCTGGGCGGGCGCTCAGGACCCCGGGGCACTGTCTGCCTCGCTGGGCATTCCCTCCCCGCTCAGTCCTCTCCCGACAGCACCCGTGGCTTCCCTTCCTCACCCCCGCCCCGGGCTGTCACCCGCACTGAGCTCCGCTTATGAGTTTCAAACCCGAAGGATTTGAAACTTTGCTCCAAGGAGAAACGTTCTATGGGGCCAACACGTCAATGAAACCAACTCCAGCAGCCGGGCTTCCTCCAGGGTCTCCAGGGAGGGTCGGGCTGTGCTTCCCTGCCTCCCGCCGGAGCCTCCCCTCCGGGGCATTTGGCTGCCGGCACCCTCCCATGGGTTCCCCCGCGTCCCACGGGGCAGGCCCCGGAGGAGCTGTTTTACTAATTAAATACTGTGGGGGACCGGCCCTCTCCTCAAACGGACCACCAGTGGGCAAATGTCCTCTCCCAGGAGCTTCTTCATACAACTATCCCAACGGTCCCCGCTTCTCCAGCTCAGCGCCAACTGCCCCTTCTCCTCCCCTCCCCCCACAACTGCCGCTTCCTCCCTCCCAACTGTCCTTCCGACCCCCTCACCCGGCCCCTCTCCCTGCAGCTCCCAAGTCACCCCAGCATTCTTTTCCTCCTCCCCTCGCCCCGGACACACACCTCACGGCGCCGACCCTCTCCTCCCTAGGCCGACGGAAGGGCCACTTCAGCTAAGAAGTTGCCCCGCTTGGCCCTCTCAGACCCGCGCGTGCACACGTCGCCATGGAAACCCGGGGCCGGGAGGGGCGAGCGGCAGCGGTGCCTGACCGCAGAGCGGCGTCCTCGGCGCAGGCGCAGTGAAGACCTGCTCCGCTGCCCCGCTCGGCTGGAGGCGTCCCTGCTGGAACTCAGGGCCAGCGGGCTGGGGGCGAGGGGAGCTACTGAGTCTGGCAGGCTGGAGGGTGCGTGGGGCTTGGGCCGAGGACAGAGCTCAGAGGACTGTGAAACAGTGAGCTGCCCTCCTGCAGGACACTAAACGGGGAGAACCCAAGCGCCCGCCCCCGCTCGGGTCTTAAGGGACCGAATGAGTCCAGCAGATGGCGCCCGGGGTCCCGCCTGCGAGCTCATCAGCGCTTACAAGGCGCTCCAGGATTTCCAGGCAGCCGTGGCTGCAGCTGGGTGCGGGGGGAAAAACCGGGGCTGGAGCACCCCTGCCCTCCAGCTCGTTCCCCCTTCTTAATTCGGACTGGGGTCTAGGATCGCCCGGCATCGCGGGGCGGGGAAAGGGAGGGAAGAATGGAACTGGAATTTTTGGAATCTGAGGACTGGCTTTGGAAAGCATCGCTCACTTTGGGGAGAAACAGGAGGCGGGGACTCCTGGGGAAGGTGACCACGCCGGGGAGGCGCTAAGATCTCCATAAGAACAAAGGTTGCGTCCTGGGGAAGCGAGAGGAGAGGGGTGAGAGGAGGGGCAGCCCTCCACCGCGGCTAGGGGGCGCTGCGGGCCGCCGGGGCCGCAGGGAAAGGCGCCTAGAAGACTGTTGTACCTGAGGCCAGAAGACGCTTCAGGGAGACCTGGGAGACAAGGGAGGAAGCCATCCAGGGGGATGGGAAGGCACCCCACCTGCTTCCATCAATAGTGCCTAATTAAGACAAAGCCAGCAGTAAGCCCACTGATTGCATTTCCATGAGGAGCTAAATTGATGACATTTTCTTTGCTGGATGAGGAAAGGGGAGCTGAGGTGGGTGTTCCTGGGGGTGTTCACACCTGACAGGTCTCATTATGCCAGGCTGGCACTGAGAGGAGTGGCAGTCTCTGATATGCCTGAAGAGCCAGTGCATTAACCCACACTCAGACTCAACTCTGACCTCACCATTCCACCTACCCTATCTTTATTTCCAGAATTGACAGGCCCTGCCCTTGGCACGCACCACCACCACCACCATTATCTTTGGGCTCTGATTTGCAGCCTCCTGCCCAGCCCAAACTCCTGTTACTGAGAGCAAGGATTGAAAGAGAGAGGGGTCCTGCCACACCCCAAAACCAGCTGCACAGCCAGCCAGGCTAAGTGGGAGTTCCTCTAATCAGATAGGCAGGGGGTGGCAGAGAGAGGTAGCATAATTGGTCAGATCCCCCAGGGAGAGGTTCCAAAGAAGTGAAGATGGTGAGGGGAGGCCTAGGGTAGGGCCTCTTATAGGCAGGGCTCAGGGCTCCCTCAGGGTAAGGAATGTTGTGTAGACCCCATTTCTTTTCTGACAACAACCTTGGCTGTGCCTAGGGATCTCGGCCCCCTACATTATGCTAAATAGGTAATCAAACATTTCACTTTGCTAATTACTGCTCAATCCGATTAAACGCTGCTGAAGCTCATCAACAGAGGTGGAGGTAGGGGGAAGGGATGGAGTGGGGCCAACCACAGCTGCGATGGGGTCTCCCCAGGGGCTCTAGGGGACAGCTGAGAAACAGACTTGGTAGCAAAACTTGTACCAGTAGGACTCTTAGTCTTACTGCATCCTCCCAGCCTCAGCCTGGTCCCTCCTCCCAGAACCTTCATTACCCTCAGAACCCAGGCATCCGGCCATTCCCACAGCTCCCCACACACACCCCTGTCCCAGCTTTAATAAGTTCTGTTCTCTCACTGTCAATATTTGATTTCTCAGAGCCATCTCCACGGAGAAAGGGGAGCTCTTCCCTTGCTTCCCCCCTACCTTGGCCCTCTTTTGCCCACCCCAGTCTCTTTGTGCCCCCAGCCTTCTCTGAACTAGCTGACAATGAAATGATATTAAAGTCTTAAGCAACTCCAAAAGAATGGTTGTTATGGTGAGGGGAGTGGGCAGGACGCCTGGGTCCCTGAGGGGAGCAAGGGCTAAGGAGGGGGAGAGTGAGCCCCAGGCTAAGGTCTGGAGGCCCCAGTCCCCAATGGGGAGCAACAGATTTGAGGTGAGCTGGGGGCCAGACCTCTGGATCTTGATGGGAAGCAGGGAGTGAGGGCTGGGGGTTAGGAGAGGTGGGAAGAGAGGACATTTGGGGGTGGAGATCACAGCCTGCTGTCCAGAGCATCTGTCAGGGATGGAGAGGCTAGCTGGGGGGGGGAGAGGGGGGGTACAGACACGGCCTCTGTGCCAACAGCCTCCCTGCTGACTGTGCCCTGGGCTGGTCCGTGAGAACCAGAGTAGATTCCTCTTCATCCCTGACTCATCCCTCTTCCCCTTTATCCCCTCCCAGCAGACCCCCACAGGTGATTTGTAGCTGATGCCCTCATGATGGTAGGAGCCAGGAGAGAGTCATTCCATGACATGAAGAGCTGAGAGCTTCCAGGAGAGGAGAGAATAGAGGCCCGGGGATGGGAAGCCAAGCACCACCCCCCAACTCCCCCGACCCATCCCCATCTCACTCCCCTGGGGACCCTGGCCCAGCCCCAGTCCCCTTGGGGTGGTGGGAATGCAAGGACATTTGGCTGGGGCTGATTGATGAGGGAGGAGGCAGCCACTGGGCACTGAGGCTGCTGTTTGCTGAGCACACAGATTCCTCCCCACTCACCAGCTGCCGCCCCCTGAGGCTACTCAATCTCCCCACCACCAGCAGCCACTGGGGTTGAAGGGAGCTGAAGCCTAAGTTTCTGATGGCAGTTGGGGGAAGCAAGCAGAAGACCCAGTACCCCGAATGCTTCAATTCCCTGGGGGACTCAGGGGTACCTGGGACATGGTCCCCACGGAACTCCCTTCAGGACTTCACTTTCCCTGCTACCTTCCAAACTTCTGCTGCCTAATTTTCACTCCCATTTGTACGGCATCCTTTTTCCTACCCCTCACTTAGCTGTCTAAGTCCATCCTAGCCAGCCTCCAGCCTTCAAACCGCCCGACAACATTTCTCCCGGCCTGTCTACAGATCCGGAAACTCTCCCTGGGGAATGGGGTGCCCATGTTTGTGATTTCCCGTGGAGCCCCATAGGAAGCTCCATTTTTTCATTCTCACTGAAATTCTAGTTTATGATGTCAACCATTCCCCACCAGAAATTCCCACTGCAACCCTTTGCTCTATTCTCCTTAAAAACCCCAACATAGCCTGGCCGGCATGGCTCAGTGGTTGAGCATTGACCTATGAACCAGGAGGTCACGGTTCGATTCTGGTCAGGGTACAAGCCCAGGTTATGGGCTTGATCCCCAGTGAGGGGCGTGCAGGAGGCAGCCAATCAATGATTCTCTCTCATCACTGATGTTTTCTATCTCTCCCTCTCCCTTCCTCTCTGAAATCAATAAAAAAATATATTTTTTAAAAACACAAAACCCCAACATAAACCACAAACACACATACTGCAACCTTCTGTACCACCAACCATACCATGAAATCAATAAAAAAATATATTTTTAAAAAACACAAAACCCCAACATAAACCACATTCACAAACACACATACATTTCTATTTCCGGTTCAAAAACTTGGCGTTTTTAAAAAACCCGGCATAAAAAACTTAAAAATTCTGTACCACCAGCCATACCACAGCTTCCAAGAAGCTCAGAGCACCATCCTTGCCCTCCCAGAGCTTAAAATTTAGTTGAAGAAAATGCAACTCACATACACAGAAGAAACAAAAGGGGTGGGGGGGATAGAAGACTGAGTTAGAGCAACTTCTTAAATGTGGATTCTAGACCCTAAAGGACCTACAGGCGGAGGCTGGGGAGGGACAAGACCCATCTGGAATACGTGTGAAGTTGTGATGTCATCCTCCCTATTTCCAAACGCATCTAGAGTTTACCTCTGTGCTTTGCACTTGCTGTTCCCTCTGTTGGGTATGACATTCCTCATACTGCCTGCCTGACTCCACGTTATACAAGGTCCTCATGAAATGTCAGCTCTTCAGCCTAGCCGGTATGGCTCAATGGTTGATCGTTGACCAGGAACCAAGAGGTCATTAGTTCGATTCCCAGCCAGAGTACAAGCTGCCAGCCAGTTCGATTCCCTGTTGCGGGCTCAATCCCCAGTAGGGGTGCATGCCGGAGGCAGCCGATTGAGGATGTTTCTCTCTCCTCGATGTTTCTATCTCTCTATCCCTCTCCCTTCCTCTCTCTGTAAAAATCAATAAAAACATTTTTCTAAATGTCACCTCTTCAGCAAAACCTTCCTGACCTCCTGATCTAAAACATCTTGTTACCCTCCATCCTCTTCATCCTGTTTTGTTTACATCATTTATCACTACCAGAAATTTTATTACGTTGTTCGCCGCCAAAATCCGGACTTCATGAAAGCAGGGATTTATTTACCATATATGCTCCCAGTATCCAAAACAGTACTTGGAACAAAGTAGACACTTAATATGACGTTGAGTGAATGAACGAACGAACGAATGAATGTCTTCCTGCCTTTCTATTCGTTTTGTTGTAATTGCTACCCTAGGAGAGTGTTTGTGTACTTGTACCCAGAAAGCAAACAGGATGGCATGGGAGGAAAGTCACCAGCACTTTCAAGTAGCTCCAAAGGCACACAAGTCACTACACGTGTGGAGGCTAAAGGTCTTGTGTTCATGTTGGGGGCGGGGGTGGGGGGGGAGTCTACAGATACCAGTGCTCCAAGGGTGCTCTGTAGAATTTGCTGTTTCTCTCTCCAGCTGTGCGTCTGTCCCCAGGTGTCTTCCTATCTCTCAGCATGTTATGATGTCTCTGCCGCTTTGGTGAGGTGCTTGTCTCAGAGGAGGTTTATTCTGCTTCCCTTCCCTTTTGTCTCTCCACCTGTGTCTCTAGATGTATGTGTAGGGGGAGTCTTCCTCAGCTCCCTTGCCCCCTCTCACACACAACCCTGCCCCAGTCTTGGACCCCTCCCTTTCTCACTGGGCCCTGTTGCTGGGCTCTGGGTTGCCATAGTGACGGTTGCCAAGTCCCTGAGGCTGATAGCCAGCGATGGGGCTGTCGGCTCCATCCACGAGGGAGGCTGAGGGGGGCTTCCCGTTGTGTGAAAAAGGGGATGTTGCCGTGACAACAAACCCCCACTAAGGGGCAAGGG